TAGTGACTGGAGTTCAGACGTGTGCTCTCCCCAAAACCCCAAAACCCCAAAACCCCTGAAAGCTAAATTCAAGAGGATTAGAGATAAAAAATTATCTGTAAATTATAATGGACGAGCAAAGTAAATTATCTCTTAAGGAGTAAATTACCTAAGATCTAGGCTGGATAGTCATCCCTCAATCAGAAGCATTGCTTAAAAATAAGACATAAAGAATAAATAGTGAGGATGATAAGACCTTGCTAACTAATATCAAATACTATAAGGTTTAAAAGGGTGATACATTGTTCAAAATAGCTTATATTTTTGGAATCTCACAAAGAATGATAAAGGAACTAAACAACCTATATTCAGAAGATGTATTCCCAGAATAAATTCTAAAAATAATTGATAATAATAGCGGCAATTCTCATCTTCTATCTGACAATGAAAATGGGGAGTTATAAAGAGCAACTGCTTGTTTTGGTGGAAGTGATTAACAAAAGTACAATACTAATGACCGAAGTATTTAAAATCAGTCATACTAAAACAACAACGAAAGTTCCTACTTTGGCGAAGATAGTCTTACAAATGCTGATCTGTTTAATAATTTGGACTCTATTGATAGATTATCCTTAAGATCATAATCAATGAGAACTCAAATGTCTCCTGTAATGACATTTGATGATATTAGTTCTCAATTCTAGAGACTACAAAGTAAGTTAAAAACTCATGCATTAAAATACACATTTTATAACTTTTCAAAATATTTATTTCACAAATATAGTGGGCTATAAGGAGATGTAAGAAAGCTTCAAGCAGTACTCTTAGAAGGGCAACTAGAGTGACCTGCTCAAAGTCTTTTGCTGAATGAGTTCAAGAGACAATAAATAAAAAATCACTGATTGTGATCATATCTAACTGTCATACTTCATTGATCACAAGCCCGATAAGATAAAAAGTAAGCAGAATCTTTGGTTTCCTTAATCTATTTTATAGCTGACGCATATTACTGTACTAAGAATGGTAAAGTCAAAGGCATCATGACATTAACAGAGCACCTTGTCATGTTCAATCCAATTAAATGTGCTGAAAATGAATAATTTGTAAGAAAATCCTGCTCATTTTTTAAATATTATAGACGAAAGATTTACAACAGTATCAGGCAATAATAGATCTTTAGGATATAGTGTCTGCCCAATAGATAAGAAATGAAAATGAGTCTTGCAAGTTTATAGAGGATCCGGAAATCAAGAAGAACTACAAATACGATTACTATATCCAGTTGAATCTTTCTACTGTAAATGGAAATTCTCTTAAATAACTCATATCAAGAGGAGGCTAGAATGGTAAAAAGGGCCTAGCTAATGAGGAGAATAAAGACAATGATGGATTTGGCAGTGTAATGGATGAAAACAATCATCTGCTCAAATGTTTCCATCTCAAGAGTATCAAATCAATTGCAAGTGTTTACTTTAGATTCTCACATAGAGATCTAAAAGGCAAAGCATTATCTAACAAGACACAGAAAACAATTGTAGAGGAAATTTATGATAAGATGCTAGCATATATAGATTACTAAAAATCCTGCAAAAGAGAAGTCTCCTCAACATATGTTAAATTCTACGATTAAAATGTAGACAGCAATCAACAGAGCTTTCTTAACTTTCACAGCAATAAAGATTCTTAATAGCAAAAACTTGTCGACCAATACCAGTATGCCTCAAAAGGCCCGTTAACAAAGAACAGTTTGCTTAGTAATATCTTATCTATTGTTAATTTGTTTAGTATCTGTGTGTTTACCTGAATTCAACATAATGGTGAAGGACTAGTCTGAGATAATTACAAATGAAAACAGAAAGTTGATAACTTTCTTTTTACCTGGGCTCATCAGAATGAGAGAATGGAAACTGCTTTACACCATCAGTGTCGATGGTGTATCTATGTAGACTTTCTTTAGAAGAGTTAAAAGCAGAGATAATACAGTGATCATTATCAAGGACCTGAATGACTCAATATTCGGAGCATACTGCTGCGAAGAGTGGAAGAAGCATCAAGGATATTTTGGGCTTGGAGAGAGTTTTGTGTTCAAGTTTATTGATGAGCAAGAAGATATCAAGGTCTTTGGATACACTCAAGAAAATGATAAGATTTAGTTCTGCGATGATAACTGTCTCATGATTGGAGGAGGAAAGAGGTAAGTCAATCTATATTAAGTTTTATCTTATTTAGTGGTGCAGCAATATTCTTGTCTCACAACTTTAGAGATGGAAGGTCAAGTGAGAGTGAGACGTTTAACAATGAAGTGCTCTCGGCTGAAAGAGACTTCTATGTCAAAGCCTTTGAAGTTTGGGGCTTCGACTTTATATGATTAGTATCCTTTAATCGTTTGAGATTTTAAGATGATTATTACTAAGCTTCTAAGAATATAAGTATCAAAGTAATAACGGGTAGAATAGGCAATAGACTATCTTCTTTCACCCTTGAGTAATAGTATTTAAATTAAATCGATTAATATGGTAACAATTAATTCCAAAAACAATGTATAATTATAATTAATAATTATGAATAAATTACTTGAGATAAATAGGGAGCTCAGAGATATCCCAGATCCTTAGATAAGTATGCCTCAATTTAGCGAATTCCAGTTGTTGAACTTTAATTTTAGGATCTCGCGAGTTCTTTATCAAGAAGATCCAAGTGACCTATGGGTACGACAGAGAAAACGCAGAGAAGACCTACGAGTACATGAAGTTACAAAGAGCTAAACTTGCTTTAGGTATGTATTCATTTATTGCTTTCGCTATCACAACAATATTCTCGCAATGCATTGAAAATCAATTGATCATATCAATAACTCTCTTTGAAAATAGGTATTGCTTGCGGAACTGCTGCTGTGTTGTGGGCAAGACCAATCCAAAGACACGCTGAGAAATATAGCGCTATTTTTAAAAAGCCATGGATGAAGGCTCCCATCTACTCTGTAGCTTTTCTCTGTGCTTTTTACGGAGGAATCTAACTTCCATCTCGTATTTTCTACAAGCTCACTCCCTCCAAGAACACTGGAATCAGCCACTCTGCCTACACTGGAAACTTAGATATGGTGAGCAAGTTCCGTATGTTCGAGACCTTCGAGCCAATCAACCCTAAGGGTTAAATTGCAGACTACCTCACAGTTTATGGAACTGATCCATTAACCAAAACTGAATTGATTGACAACATCGCTCTCCATGCTCTTAAAGAATTTGATCTTGCCAACATGTTCTAAATAAAGAGAAGAGGCAAGGATAAGGACCCAATTTTCTGGAGCTTTGGTAAGATTCACGGTCTAGAAAATATCGCCTTCGCCGATGAATGTGAAATTAAAGCTACTAAAGGAAATCCAGTAAGAATCTAAAAGCTTGTCAACAGATATGAGGGATCTCCATTAATGATAGACTCATATGAGCATTTAGTTCAAGAGACAAGGAATGCCTTGAATGGATATAAAGAGAAGGTTGAAAAGATGACATTAAATCCATCTGACAGAAAGAAACTATTGGCACTTCCATTCTATTTATCAAAGAGATCAGAAGATCCAGCACCAAAGAGAGGCCAATACGAGTATCAACTCTTCAAGGAACTTACTGGTAAGGAATGGGAGACTTATGATGGAGTCAACTTTGATCCTGAGAGCAAGATCAACGAGTTTGAGTACGAGAAATTTATTAATCCACATCTCCTTAAGAATGATGATCTGACCAGCTCAGATGAATTTAAGAAGTTGATTAGAGTCCTCAACTACTTCTCAAGAACTGAGATTGAAAAGCATGAATAAAACAAAAAGGCTTTCTAGAATCTCATGCCAATTCTAAGAGGCCTTACTCCCTCTGAAGTTGAGATTCTTGTCCACAAAATCAAAAACTCAAACCAAAATATTAGTGATTCAATGACAGAAGAAATTCTCAATGAATCTGTCCTGAGAGATGTGGAGGAAGGTTTAGCTAAGGTATCTGAGGAACAAAACTATCTTGCCAAGAACAGATACAGACTAGAAAGAACTGTCCTTGACTACGGCGACAAAAAGCGTCAGCCAGTTGACCATAGAAGACTTCATGAAATGCTTAAGAATAGGCCTGCCTTCAGAGCAAAGATTTTGGATGAGATCTAGACTCATGAAGAGGGCAGATTCAACCCATAATGGGAGCATGGTATTCTTTCATATATCAGCGACGGTTCAGTCGGTGCCATGAAAGACCTAGTCAGAGAACTTGGAATTAACAGCGAGAACATTCCATTCATGAACGTTGGTGACTTGCAAAAGACAAGAGACAGTCTGTTGACTCAGCCAAGTGACCACTAATTCCAATTCTTGCTGAACGCTCTGTTCTCACCAATCGATATGACTGACTATGAGAACACATTCGTTGGCTTTGATGAAATCGTAGGAGGCATGCCCAATCTTGATTACAGTTCACTTAAACCAATGTTTGAGGAGCCATACCCTACTACCCATCAGCTTGCTGCTCTGGAAACACCTGAGGCACCATACAGAAACTCAAGATCTAGAACTCACAGAGATCTTTAAGATCTAAAGGCTGCTGAAGCTGAGGCCGCTGCTGAAGGCGATGATGAAGAGGAAGAAGAAGAGGAAGGAGATGAAGAAGGAGAAGGAGAAGAGGGCGGTGAAGAAGCAGCCGCTGAGGAAGAAGCTGATGAGGAATATGAAGAAGAAGCTGAGTGGCCACCAAAAGACAGAATTGAAGCCAACGAAGGCGAAGATAAATTCTTCATCAGAGATGAGACGATAAGAAACAAATTCAACGAGATCGAAATCGACTCATTCATGAAGCTCATGAACATCAGACCAACCTTCTCCTGGGAAGACCAAACTGGCTATCACAACAGACTCGGAGCCCATGTCTACGAGGACGAGGCTCAAGAACTAGATCCAGCTTTTCACTTGTTAGGAGAAGTCGAAAGAAAGGAAATGGAAAGAAGAGAAGTCGAAGACTTCAGAAGAGGTACAGAGGTAAAGTTCGTACTCAAAGAGAAGAGACCCATCAGCCTTAACTACAGATTCTGAGCACTTATTCACTGTGGACACTCTCCACTCTGCTTTATCAGTGTTTGTCTCTAAATAGGCTAAATCTCGCTATTTAATTTAAACAATAGTTATTTCTCATAGACCAGCCATCAAATCAGTATCAAGGGGTTTTGGGGTTTTGGGGTAGTTAATTTACTAATAAAATA